GTCAAAGTTTTACATGAGGAACGCTTTTACTTAAAACGCCTGATCTCAGAAATGATTTTCATCAAATTTCAGAAGCAAGGTCTTAACTCACAAAAGGGTACTGAATATTTGGGCACCAGCTACTGCGGCTTGTTTTGAAAATAAACTTTGTTTTGGTTTCCTTCTCTTCCACAAGTCGTTTCCGCAATGTTAATACTAGGTTATATAAATCTGTAATTATTTGTATTTCGTAGACGTGGCGATGTTATCGTTGACAGGATCGTTTTACTTTTAGCTGAGCTCAACAAAGGTATTTTATATTGTCAGTTTTAATTATTTATTATATTTCAATTTTACTTACTTTTATTTTATTTTATGATTTTTTATAGTTATGACGACTACTTCTCAATATTAATTAACTACTTAATATTATTTCGGTAACGGTCTTGTCAGCTTTAATATTGCGATTAACATTCATGTCAATTTATTCAGGTCTTTAATTAATTGTAATGCGTTCGTATCGTAAACCTTGAGTTTTTATTATCACTGAAGAGGATTCATGTTTGAGCCGAAACGTCTGATTGTTTTATATTGATTATTCATGTTCAATAAATATTACACGATTTCCTAACACAAGGAAGGTTTTACTCATATGGTACATAGCACTATTAGTCCTGTGCTTAAACTCGAATAGCCCCTTTTTCCTATTTTTTGATTGATATCTTTGTTTGCGAGTTCTTATTTCTTTCTTTAAATATCTTAAGGAGATTATTTCCCGTCATTATTTCGCCGTGGCTCTATGAGAGCACCGCCGCGTTTTCCATTTCCAACGGTCCCGTCGGGAAGAATACTTATCAGCATTTTCTTGCCGCCCACCCAATAACACTGTTACAGCATAGCTATTGGCTAATTTGCCCGCCCGCTTGATTCATTATCATCTAAGACCGGGACCTCCGCGGGTGCTCGATCGTGTAAGCGTCCCGGCGCCCCGATGAATAGCGTTGTCGTTTACGGCACTCATTTCCTCACTAGTAGAACAATTGACGTCACGTCACGTCACGTCAGTGTGATTCCAATCGATCTTTTCATCTCCGCCTCTTTCTGGCCGGCTATGTCGCGAGCAAAACGTATTTGCTCGCCGTGTTCGTGCTGATTAGTTGATTATCGTCCACGTCCACGTCGTTTCTAATGATAGAGCTTATTGCCGCCGCCTAAGTATTTATTAATTTATCTCACCCTAATGAGAGTGACGTTGTTCCCCTGAACATCCGATATATTCATTAGGAGGGTGACTAGTGATTCTTGATAGCATTGGGTATAGTTGCTCCACAAGATCTTCGTCTCAGTTTTAACGTACCATTCGCCGTTCGGCATACATTGCTTTGACGCGTCCGCCTAAAAAGTATAGAAAAGCTATGTTTATTTATGAATCCTCTTCACACATTTACACGGGAAAAAGTGTGGTTGGATTAACCAAATACTTAGTAAAGTATGAATAAGCCATAAATCCGATTGGAATTGTTAGAATTCTGACGAGATTTCTGATTAAAATTTGACGACATTTCTGATTAATAGTTGCAGATTCTAGTTAACCAGAAATCTTGTCAACTTGAAAGTTAATCAGAAATCTTATTAAGTCGAACAGAATTCTAGTAATTTCAGCCGGAATTTCTGGTTTGTTCATATTTCACCAAACATTTTATTTAATCAACCAAACTTTCTTTTCTGTACTAATTATTTTTCTCGGCAGAAATATTGGAGTATATGCTGGAAAAAAAGTACCTACACGGAAAAGAAAGATTTGCTAACATATGGACAACTAAAAATATTAGCTGCAGCAGCAGATTTTCTTGCTTTCATAGCAAAGTTATTTAGTTGTAGTATTATAGTTCCTGCAGCTAATATTTTTAGTTGCCCATATTAGCAAGTCTTTTTTTTCCGTGTAAGAAATAAAAAATGTTTATTCCACACATATAAGTATATTAATAACATATTTACTTGTACTAATATATAAGATATTTTTTAAATAAGAAAATATACATTCTTTTAAAACTTTAACTTTTTATAAAAAAGCGATTGTTATATTCTATTTAAATGGAAGAATTTAGTTTTAAATAAATATGTTATTAGTATCCACCAAAGAAAAATTTTTTATCTTTCAGGCATTTTTTCTCTCAAAATTGTACCCATAACCTGGAAACTATAAGCGAGCTTAGAGTAACGGTTGCGTATTTGTTGTAAAAAGAAATGACTATGGCGGTTGAATGAAATCTTCGCTGAGGAGAAATAAAATGCAGATCCCAGTCGAGAGATCGTTGTAAATTCTTATTGTGTGTTGTAAATTCCTACGTTGAACTGCGAAATATGCCAGAGGCGCTTTCATTATCCGACTTTAAAAAATGAATTTCATCTCTTCCTCCACGCAAAGTTCTTACAACGTTATCAGGTCGGGAAATCAATCCGATTAAATTTCTCATTGGCGTCCGCGCGTGTCTCAATATTAAACCGCTTTGTTCATTATTCCACCGTAAAAAAAATTCCATATCCGCTCGCGGATCAGCTAACGAGAAGTCAATTCGGTCGAGAGAAGTCGCGAAATAATAGAGAGAAAGAGACAGAGAGAGAGAGAATATGATATACCAACATATTACCTCAACGTCGAATCCCATGATGTAATACGGGCAAGACTGCACAGCCAATTTTCCAGGTGGTGTTGAGTTCCAACACAATATCTCGTCCCAAGTTTCCGGACACCAACCTGAGACGGATTACGTTAAGATATTAACGCGAGAATAAGTACAAACATCGAGTTATTAAGCGAACATGGATAACGCAATGCGAGCTAAATATATAATAAGTTATGCAACTCCATGAACTTTTTACATTAATTCAGTTTCACATTAATTAAAAGTATCGAGATATTTCCTTGGTTTCTACATTGTTACTATCAGTTTGCATCAGATTCTTGTTCGTTTAACTTTAATTTCGTATAGTTACCGAAGCTATCACACTAAGAAAAAATATCTGAAAATTTATTCGTAGGATATTATGTAGTTTATTCACAGAAAATTAAATTATAATATTATGTATTATAATATAATGTAAAAAAACTTTATATTATTATATTAGGTGTACAACTTTGCTTCCGCCGTTTTCCTATAGATAGCTTTAGCGGGTAGTGGTGGTCAAAATAAATAGATCATAGACGTCATACAATAAACTTGGGTATCTGTCAACATAACCCCATAGAAATATTAGTCGATTTGTGTCTGCATCAAGTTATTCTCGATTGAAAATGTCAGTTTACGAGCCAAATTCTCGTCATTTGCGGGAGATTTTAATTTTCTGCTTCAATATGAAGAAATCTGCGGCTAAGGCTCGTCGAATGCTCTCAAATACTTATGGTGAGGCCGCTATTAGTGAAAGAACGTGTCGTGAGTGGTTTAAACGCTTCAAGAACGGTGATTTTGACATTGAAGACCGGCATAGCGGTGGAAGAGAGAAGGTTTTCGAAGATGCAGAATTGGAGGCATTACTTGATCAAGACTCGTGTCAAAATCAAGAAGAATTGGCACGATTATTGGGAGTGACTCAACAAGCCATTTCAAAACGCCTCAAAGCCATGGGAATGATTCAGAAGCAAGGAAATTGGGTGCCGTACGAATTGAAGCCGAGAGATGTTGAACGGCGTTTGTTTGCTTGTGAACAGCTGCTTGAAAGGCAAAGGCGGAAGGGATTTCTGCATCGCATTGTGACTGAGGACGAAAAATGGGTTCAATTCGATAACCCCAAGCGCAGAAAATCATGGCAAGTTCCTGGCCATGCTTCCACGTCGACGGCCAAACCGAATATTCACGGCTCCAAGGTCATGCTCTGTATTTGGTGGGACCAGCTCGGCGTAGTGTATTATGAGCTGTTAAAACCGACTGAAACAATCACAGGCGATCGGTATCGAACGCAATTGATGCGTTTGAGCCGAGCATTGAAAGACAAACGGCCGCAATACAACGAGAGACACGATAAAGTGATTTTGCAGCATGACAATGCTCGACCCCATGTTGCGAAAGTGGTCAAGACATACTTGGAAACGTTGAAATGAGAAGTCCTACCCCACCCGCCGTATTCTCCAGACGTTGCTCCCTCTAACTATCACTTGTTTCGATCAATGGCACACGGCCTGGCTGACCAGCACTTCCGGTCTTATGAAAAAGTAAAAAATTGGATCGATTCGTGGATTGCCTCAAAAGATGACCAGTTTTTTCGACGCGGGATTCGTACGCTGCCCGAAAGATGGGAGAAAGTAGTGGCCAGCGATGGACAATACTTTGAATCATAAATGTATAACCAGTTTTTTACAATAAAGCCTCGAATTTCGGAAAAAAAACGACGGAAGCAAAGTTGTACACCTAATATAAAATATAAAAATTTTATATTTCACAAATAAATTTTCAAATTTATTCATAGAACATATATTTTTCCAATTTATGCACAAAAATATATTTTGTTCCACAAAAATAAACTTTATATCCAACGAATAAGAATTTTAAATTATTTTTTTTCTCGTTGTAGGAGCTTGCGAAAATTCGTTGGATTTTTAGTCATATTTATTTTATTAATTTCAATCATTTATTGATTTCTTTCATAAATAATAAAACGCATGCCGCGTTTCAGTTAAAGTACCTGTCATAATTATCCAAATTTATTCATAGAACATATATTTTTCCAATTTATGCACAAAAATATATTTTGTTCCACAAAAATAAACTTTATATCCAACGAATAAGAATTTTAAATTATTTTTTTTCTCGTTGTAGGAGCTTGCGAAAATTCGTTGGATTTTTAGTCATATTTATTTTATTAATTTCAATCATTTATTGATTTCTTTCATAAATAATAAAACGCATGCCGCGTTTCAGTTAAAGTACCTGTCATAATTATCCAAATTTATTCATAGAACATATATTTTTCCAATTTATGCACAAAAATATATTTTGTTCCACAAAAATAAACTTTATATCCAACGAATAAGAATTTTAAATTATTTTTTTCTCGTTGTAGGAGCTTGCGAAAATTCGTTGGATTTTTAGTCATATTTATTTTATTAATTTCAATCATTCATTGATTTCTTTCATAAATAATAAAACGCATGCCGCGTTTCAGTTAAAGTACCTGTCATAATTATCCGTCACTTCCTGCCAGCTTTCAAATAATTGTCTAATTTTGTATTTGCAGGACTTATTTTTTGAACCAATAGATTATTGATATTTCAACTTTTGCAAATCCCTAACGCGTATAATTCTCTTCTTCAATAATTCTCTTTATCCAAATAAAACGGGATATTTTATACAAAGCGTGAGCTCTCTCTTCTTCTTTCTCTCACTCACGTGTAGTAATTGAATATTCGCTCAATCGACTCAATCGTATCAATAACACGCCTCCACAGTTATGGAAATAATAGACCCCCTTTGTACACGATACGATAGCGCAACATACAGATCCGATTACACACGCCGGTCATTATTGTTAAGTGCATCGTTGCACCGAGCGAATTGGTTCGGCCACTCAGCAGCGGCCAAGCAGCGAGGGAGCATATTATTACGTAGGCGAAACGTCGAGATTGTCCGTGTGACCGAAGGTGTGAAATTCGTCGCGCTCCTGCGGATTTGCCGCTCTTTCGGGTTCGCTTTGACGCGGTCCGCGGAAACAGGAGAATCCATTAAGGTGCCGGACATGCACGGCGAGGGAAATTGCATTTGATCATTTCCACGTGTATACCGCCGCCGCTCTGTATGCATCGCTACGTGCAACAGGAACAGGCCACTGCATTTACTTGAAACAATGCCACGCGTGCTATTATCGACGTTCGTTATACGTAGCCGCGCGCGCGGTATCGCCGAATATCGCATCGTCGATGCACTCGCATGCGTTGTACACGGGTGGTCGATCGAAAATCGTGCGCTGCCTCCCGATCATGCGGCCATTGCCGGTCAAACTAACAGGATAACACGATGCGAACTCATTAATGTGCACGCAACTTGGTGAAGACGCGAATAATAATAACGGTATAGGTGCCGTTTGTGCGCTCGACTGTACGATTGGTTGTAAAGCTAAATTACATGCGAAGTACCTTCGACTCGGCCTGAGGTAAAAGCATCGACGCTTGGACGCTAATAGTACCGGCACCTTACTCTGAATGTTCTTGTTGTTTTGGTTTTTAAATAAGGTGATTGTGCCAATTAGTGACGGTTGCAGCCGTTTTTCCAAATAAACCAATCAATACGGGTTCATATTTGCTCGAAAACGCGTTCTTACTCGAAATTTTATATATTATTAGTTATAACAAATTTCATATAAAATTAATTAATTAATTAAGGCTAAATATCAAACTTAATTAATTAATAACTCCTAAACTATTGCTCGCGTTAAAAAATGGCAAAGGACTTTTCGTCTCATTGTCAGTTTGACTTCTACTGTCTGTCGTTACAATATTTGACGTTCGATATGGAATACCCTTTTTTATATGAAAGTTTTCTTCTTTTTTATATCTGAAAGTTTGAATATTCATATTTAAAGATCTCAAAACAATAAGAATGTTCAAAGTTAGGTATCAATGTTATTACTTTTACCTTAGACGTGCCTTAAACCATAATTTATGTCGTAATACTACACGTATAAAACTTATATCCTTTAATCTCCAACCGCGCTCAAACTTTTTGTTTCGTTGGCGCGGAAATTTCGACGCGAAATCGCGTATCGCAATATCTTTCTTCGTAAATATTATCTCAACTTCGGCGTCTTCTCCGGTTAACTGAGAAGTAAAAAGCAAACCACGAAACGTGACGTGTTTCGGACAGATTCCTAATACGTGAATTATTCTGCGCCGTTAATTGAAAAAGATTCGTGGAAATCGAGCGATTGAAATTCATGAAACAGTTAATTTTAACGAAGATGGGATTGCATGGCGCCGACGCTTGTTCGACGATAACCCGCGTTTTCTATTATATTCTATTATATACCCGCATGAAGGTGGCGAGACTCATTTGAATCCTGCGATTCAGTGGCATTAATGTAATTAATACTTCGTCACCGCTATTCACCGCTCGCGCGTTTGATTTTGTCCGCTCGAGCGGACCGTGCAAGATTAACTGCGACATTAATTGCTTCAGAGACATCCTACGGATTTATCCACGGTTGTATATACACACGCGGTATAACGCAAAATGTGTGCCGACACGTGTGAACGAGCACGCTCGATATTAGACTGTGCGACGTGTATACGCATTTTCCGCCGATCTTGAATGTACAATGACAGCTGATAGTGGGTTTTCATTTTCAATTGTTTACTTCAGCCCATATCTGGGCTGCGTTCGGAAACGTCACTCAAATACTCTTCCTCTCTTTTATCTCACTCTTGTATCTCGCTCACTTCAACGCAACGGGTACACTTGGATGTCGTTTTCGAACGCAGCCCTGACGCGAGTCACAGCAGCGAAAATGAAAACTTCTGGCCATGAGCTCTTCTAGAGTCGTTGCGGAATTACCGCTGGGAAGTGTTTATATGACATGGAAGTGACAGCAGACTGTTTCAAAATTACGCCAGTTATATTACAGCCAGTTGAGTTTCTGCTTATAATTTTGAAACTCTGTCAATTATATTAAGATATTCTACTTTTTAAAGTGCAATCAGTGCATTTGTATATTACAGATTTCACAGTAAAATTTTACTTTTATTGATCAAAATCGGCAAGATATAGATGGAGCATTAAGACACAGTTTTTATTGAAAATCAGTGAATACTTACTGATCAGTGAATACTTACTGATTTTCACAGTGAAGTACCTTTTACTGACAATAAAAAATATATTTACTGATTAACTTACTTTAAGAAAGTAGCCACGCGGACAGAATATTATAGTTATTTTTCATCTAAATTCCTTTCAATTTTGCTACGTTTTTAATAGTCCAGGAGTAGATTAGTCAGTAAGTCTATCATATTAAGAAATTGAAATTTATACAGTAATTTTACAAAGTAATTATTTATTAAATTTACTTAATAAATTTCTTTAAAAACATCGCGTGTTTTAATAGTATATTTCAGTTTCTAAAATATATAAGTAGTACATACAAAGTTGATTGGATTAAGCAAATTTTTAATAAAGTGTGAACGAAGTTCCGGTTGAAATTACCAAAATTTTGTTAAAGTTAACAAGATTTCTTGAACAGAAATTAAGTGACAAGATTAATTTGAATAGAATTCTGGCAATGGAATTAAATGGAATTTTCTAGTTCGTTCATATCTTACCAGAAATTTGCTTAGTGCGACTAAACTTTCTTTTGAAATATGAAATGTCTGTATGAAGTGAAAGGATAGTGATTTATTACATGTCCTCGGTTACAAAATTCTATAATAATTTTTACTACAAAATTCTCTCCGTGTGAATCAACGAACTAATCGAAATATTACATTTCCTCACGTTTCCGTGATATTTAATCGACGAGCTGACTCAGCCATTTGCATTGTCTGCTATGTTGCTGATCAATTTCAATTAAAACGCGAATCCGTTCGATAGTACCGAACGATCAATCGTGATTTTCGCACAATACGAAGATGTCGCGAAAAGATCGAACGTGGCAAATACAGAGCGATTACGACTGATAGCACGAAATAGATGTGCACGCGTAATTTAAGATCACCCAGGCATACGCAGTGAGAGATTTACTAGACGCGCGTTTAATCGCGCAACCACGCTAGAGGCGACAGACGTGTCCCCGTCCTACGCGCTGAAATACCAGCGGTGTTCGACCTAGACGTGCGACAGTATTTTCCCGCGCCGTTTTCGCAATTATTATCCTGTATCGCTTACCTGTTTCCGCGATATTGCCGCGATTGCAGCGTTTGAATTCCGTTGCGACCATCAGGTCCTGCTTCCGGCTGAGGTCGCTATTTTTCTGAAACAGAACGTGAACGCGCGTAAATCAATATTTATATTTTTGTCGTGATATTACAGTATAAACTGTGTGAACGGCAGATCGATTACGTCGAACGCACGCTCTTGGTTTGATTCATTCGCTAATTTCATAATTCGCATGTCGTATTCTTAAGTTACCGCGCGCCTTAAGGTAGCTGTTTCGCGACAATATTGGTAGGAAGTCAGGTTAAGTAATGATTAATGCAACACAAAGAAGCTCTATAAATCTGTGCTAAATGTTTATAAATATGATACACATACACCACACACAGTTTTTTGGCACTAAAATATCAATGGCAAGCTTATAAGTACTTGTTCGACCAATAAACGTAGACTGAATAACCCAGAGTGGATTAACCCAAAGCCAGTCTAACATGCTATAAGCTATTACCACGGCACCGTTGGTCGTACAAACCGTTAACATATCTAACGCGTAATTTAAATAAATCTTATCGGTTGCATTTGGCCTGGGCAATTACCAGAGGCTCTAACATACTGTTAAAATTGATAAAGATTCCTAAAAAGATTGATTTACTCTACTACAACTTAAGTTCCCACTTTGACAATGACGAATGCGGAATCATCGAGAAAGCAACGCGCCGAGGAAATCTATTTCTTGATTAGAAACGACGATTCCTGGCTCGCATCTAAGATTACTACAACGGGAACATTTGCAAGATGGATCTATCGACAGGCATAAGGAATTGTCTGCAGAAATAGGAAGAGAGAGAAAGGACTTTACGATTGCTGCAACAATTTTGTAGCGTAGGATTTACCCATTAATCCACGTTTGCAATCATTTTGTACGCTTGTTACGTTTGTCCGGCTGAATGTAATGCACGGATTAATTAAAAAGTTTTCCCTCAGATTCACAGATTCGCTACTTTTCGCAATATAATATTTTAACTTCACCAACCTTTTCCTAAATTTCGATCGGAATATGTTCGGTTAAATAAAAAAATTTTTTTTTTTAGGCGCTTTATATGGGAATACCGTTTATCGCGCAAATATTTCAGGTCTGTCGCAATATTCCGAGTCCACGTATTTAATTTACGAATAGTCAGTTCTTCCTATTCAGCCTGTATATTGAAATCGGACGAAAAAAAGGTTGACTCGCGCGCGTTCCAACACGAGGGTGAATGGCTCTCGTTCCGAATAAACACCTTTGTGATTTTTGCGATCAGCCAAACCCGCTATCTTCGACCCCATTGTTCTGTTTTTCGATCGCAGTCCACGCGGAACTATTCGCACGGCGCTGCTTCTCTCACGGGGAAAAAAAAGTTCGACGGCGAATTCAACTCATCGGGTGTTGCGCTTTAAGCTCTCGAGTTCGATAATGCCGCACGTTATTTCAATGTATCTCGCAATGATGTCACGACCATTACCGTAAACTTTAACGTGCATCCTTCTATCGTTTTACGTTCACGGCGCGCTCGTTTCGCTTTTCTTTCTTTTATTATCCATGTCACGCACTTCGTTTTACCGTCAAGCAGTTAGCTCGTTCGTCAATAAAAAGACAGGAAATTTGCACGAAGAACATTTCGAAAAGACGCACGCCAAAACAAAAATAGCCGCTCGGAAATTTTAATTATAATTAGTAACATTTTTTGTGGTTAATTGAAATGCAAATTATTGTTAGCAACTCGTTGGGTAGTTACTCGCGCATTTTGACTGGCGATGGTCGTTAATTAATGTTCAAAATACAGCGCGAAATTTAAATATATATAAATGGACCTGACGTCGTGCAAATGCGTCTGTGTTTATGCACACTCATAACAGAAACATTAGTAACACAAAAGAAATTAAACATTCATATAATATTTACAGATAATATATATTGTAATATGCTGGCTTGTTTTAATTCATTAGTACGCTATTAATTATTCCTATCGCGATTGAGCCTCGCGTAATGTTGTTGACGGAATTGTCAAGCTACTTGGTCGATCGACAGCCCGAAAGGGCTGATGTTGCGGAACACTCACGACATTCTAAGTAGCTTCCCATAAGTATGGCTTCTATCCAAAGACAAAACTCGAGAATCCAGGCAGTTCGTGAGCCGCTTCTACGGGCTGCAGAGAAATTCAACGCGAAGCCTTCCAAACGATTTCATAGTTCGCTGCGTATTTCTCTACGTGTCACCACGCACGACTCGACAGGGGGACGAGACAGACAGTAAAATTATTTATTTTCTGTCTGACTTTTCTGCACCGTCCCGACACGTCATGCACGCTCCCATGGAATGAGCACGCGATTATTCTGGGTCGCTTATTCGAAATAAACACCGCGGATAACGTGCCACGAATCCGCAATACATCGCCCTTTTTGGTCCCTTCTTTACGAGTTTCGCTCTCTCCCTCTCCTCCCCTCTTTTCTCTCTCTCTTTCTCTCTCTTTCTCTTTCTCTCTCTCCCCGTTCACACATTTTGTTAAGAGAATATTCACTTGCTTAAGAATATTCACTTGTTTTGCGTGTAATTTTACATGTAGAAAGGACGTGCTCGAGTACGACGGATGCACTTCAAAGCATAAATGTTGTCTCGGCAAATGTGCACTTACACTTATATGTCCATCTCTCTCTATCCCTCGCGGCGGAAAATATTTTTATACGTTTCTCTATAACTCTTACAGGTAGACGGGAACACTCTGCGTATCTCGTGACACACATAACGTAAATGAGCGTCCGCATGTCGTCGGAAACTGCTTGCTCTCGAGGATGGCAAATGAACGGTCATTCTACACGGAAGATTAACTCATATATCGGAGCTGGATTTCGCGTGAGTTCGAACTTCAGCTTTTCCTGCTTGAAAGCACGCTCGTCAGCGTAGTGTCCAGGTCGATCGGGACAAATGGTGATCATCAATAATGACCGATTACTAGATATTCCGCGCGCAAAACGTCGCTTCTTCTGAATTTCCGTCTCACGCTCGTGGATATCTGCCTTATGTAATCTGCGAGTTGCACATTTCACAGAGCGCTATTCGCACTCGCAAAAAACAAAAAAAGAAGAAAAAAACGTGAACGAGGTATTCTCTTGACAAAAAGCATTCCCTGACAACGTTGAAAAAAGCACTCTAAATAATTGTGATACAAGCTTCAAAACCTCTTTTTAATACAATTCGATTTTCTAATAGCGTCTTCAAATATACGGATTTTCCAACCTGGGCTCGGTTAATGGAATGTTTAAACCTCTACCTTGCTCACCAAGATTGGCTACACAAAGAAAAAAACTGTCTTGTTTGAGAAATACTTTGATTTTTTATATGTAAATTTTAGAATAAGATCACGTAGCGTTCAAACAGAAATAGGTTACTTGCATCAATACATTGTATATGTGTGATTTGAAAAAAAAACCAAAAAAAATATATTCCCATTACTCAAAAATAATTTTTATTAATAGCAAACATGAATTATTAGGTCAGGACACTGTCCACCACATGTGAATTTTTTGTCGTCTCTTTTAGAACGACAAGTGCGTTTTAGTTGCTTTTAGAACGACAATGGCCGTTTTTAGAGTTTCCGCTCTCAATCTAAATAAATAAATGATACGGTCGAAATGTCAGAAGTCGCGAGCAAAGGACGATAGATACGAACGAATAATTGGTACTGGGATCTCCCTTTCGCTCGTAACAGGACACAATGCAAATTACTTATTTATACACGCGGCAATAAAATATTAAAGGGAGTGGTTGAGAGCGTCTTTCGGCCGAGTGTATTTTGAAGCAGGGCAACTACTATTCGAAATCAAGGGACGACTCTCAAAAGAAAAGAAAGTTTCTCTTTTTTTGCGTCAACAGCAACGAAAACCTCATTGCTGAGAAATTGACCACTTTCGCGAAGTTTCGCCTCAGCGCGAACTTTTGTTAGTACAGCAAAGAGCACTTCAATGCGCTCCCGAGGGAGATGTGTTTCCATGCGGGTAAATTATGGCACGTTCGCCGTTATCATTCCGCAGATAGTAGTTTATGGTCCGTGCTAAGCCTTCGTAAGCTCCTGTCAGGTTGAAGACTGAGAAGCTTTGAAGTTACGTTCGACGGATACGCGCATGAAACGCTGAATGAGTCCAAAGGAGCTCGCAAGATTTGCTCATGTCAAAGCTCGCGGATATCATTAGAACTATGTTACAATAAGCTGTCGACGTACAAAAGCATTGTATTTCAAAGTCTCTCTCTCTCTCTCTCTCTCTCTCTCTCTCTCTCTCTCTCTCTTTCTCTCTCTCTCTCCGAAAATTATTTTGCTATGCTTCTTAAATTATTTTGCTATGAGACAAGAGTTTCAAAGATAAGAAGAATTGCAGAATTTTTTCTTCCCGAATGTGAATCGATTATATCGGTAGTCAATTTACATACCTCGTAGAAATGTTATTTTTTTCTGATTTATAGTGCAAATAATATAACTGGTTTATTGGCTGACATTATAATGTCAAATACAAAGTACAAATTAATATTATTAGTATATTAAATTTAAATAACACACACCTTCATTCATAAAATATACATAGATATTTAAAACGAAATAATATTTCAGCCAGTAATATGATTGGTTAACTTAGCAAACATTGACTTGATGAATTAATTATACATGACTGGGCGGTCAAATCAATCATCGAATCGAATCAGTAATGAACAAACCAACAATAAGCGTAATAAAGTTTTATTGAACACCGCGCTAATGTACTTTTGCTGGACGGAAGAACAAGCCACGAGAGAAGGAGAGGGAGAGAGAGAAAAAAGAAAGAGAGAGCAACGGATCGAAAATAGCGTACTTGTTACAGCGAACGAGCCACTTGAGGCTTTTTCCGTGTGTGGTTTTCGCGTCGAATCGCATAATACCGTTTTATCCGTGGGTTAAATGACCGCGATCGTAATCTTCACGATTAAGTGCTCTTGTCGACCACCGGCAAATATTGGCTGATGGAAAATTGTGCGCGTTACTTCGGAAGTGCGCACTCGTCGTTCAACTTAAAAGAAAAAAAAAGGAAACAAGAGAAAACTAGACTACACAAGGCAAATATATCATCGTCTCTCGAAGTTCGCGACGAATTTTTTCGAGTTTTCTCGCTTCAATGATTGACGTTGTGCATCCGGAAGTTTTTAGGAATTGTGGCGTAGAGAGTCCGAAAAGCGAAATTGACGGCACGCGCAAAAGGCTATTCGCTTGTATATAAATATCGGTCCCGTAGAAATATTTCCGGTATTTTTCGCCGAGTGTACGCCGGGAAAAATATCAGCCGGCGTTTCTCGGTAAGCGATCGAGCTTCTGACCAGTATATTTTGCGAATTATCTGCCCGCAGAGATTTATACAGAGATACCGGCGGAAGTATCCACTAAGTGCAGCAGATGTAGACGCGAATTCTGTCGAGTTCTCGTGTCGGCCTCGGAAGATGGCAACGTCGATTGGCGTGAGATAAATATACAGCTCAGATTTCATGTGATCTTATTATAGTTCTCGTTACGATCTATATATTCAATGTTAAATACTAAAATACTATATTGCAGATATGCAATATGCGACGATATGCGACGATTTGGTATTTGAGGTTTTCATAAAGTGATAGCACACACAGAAAAATACTATATTACTGAGAGAACTGCTAAGAAAAGTGATTACACAGTTTACTTCCCGCATTTTAAGCAATAGCTATCTTCAGTAAGGAATATTTTGTTGATAATAGCCTTCAAATATCACTCATCACAAATTTGAGCAAATTATCACGTATTCGAGGGGAGAATTAATTCTCTTTACGAGAATATCGTAAAATTTTATCGAAGAAAAAGTGCGGCTCCATTAGCAACCGGAGTTTTTATTTCAATTTAATATTCTTCGCTGAAACACTAAGCTTTCTAGGATTCGCAATATATTTTGGATCAATTTGATACTTATGACGAACTTGTTTTACGAGAATATTGTAAAATTTTATCGAAGAAAAAGTGCGGCTCTATTAGCAAACGGAGTTTTTATTTCAATTTAATATTCTTCGCTGAAACACTAAGCTTTCTTGGATTTGCAATATATTTTGGATCAATTTGATACTTATGACAAACTTGTTTTACGAGAATATCGTAAAACTTTATCGAAGAAAAAGTGCGGCTCTATTAGCAAACGGAGTTTTTATTTCAATTTAATATTCTTCGCTGAAACACTAAGCTTTCTAGAATTCGTAATATATTTTGGATCAATTTGATACTTATGACGAACTTGTTTTACGAGAATATCGTAAAACAAGTTCGAAGAAAAGTCCTGCTCTATTAGCAAACGGAGTTTTTATTTCAATTTAATATTCTTCACTGAAACACTAAGCTTTCTAAGATTCGCAATGTATTTTGAATCAATTTGATACTTATGACGAACTTGTAATTTCAGATACATAAACTTACGAAATATTTAAAATAAATGACATTTATTTAAATGCAATATACATTTTCCTGTGTACTCAATTTCAGTTTTACTATTAAAATTGTATGCGATAAATTGTTGAAAAATAAATAATATAATAGTATGTGTTACTTCTCGCGAAATATAAACACATTATATATTCTCTCCTTTTGAACAATAGTTATTTTCAACAGAGAATATTTTTCTTGACAACAGTCTTCAAATAGACTCATCGCCAATTCGAGAAAAGCTCATTATATATTATGTGCGTAATGTAAATAATATTTAATATAAAAAATAATAGATGAGAAATTGTTATTCACAGGGAAAATATCGCTGTGTAAAGGCTGTTAGTTGCCGCTATTTAGTTGCCGCGCAAGCGTAAGTAATTGTTGCTACTTACATGTGATTCCATGGCGGCCTCTTGAATTATTGCCCGTATCGCGTGTTCTTCCCGCAGCTGCACTCGTTCCGATCCTCAGCACGCTCCGCTCTGCAACATATCGCGCGTTATTATTAATTAATCGTCTTTCGTGGTATCACGAGAAGGCGCTCTTTCTCCTTTTTATATCGTTATCGCCGTTGCGGTTAATACATCGTGCGAAACCAATGATTTCAGACACCTTACGTTCGTGCAACGAACCGCTTTTCGATTATTAACTTCGGAGAAACGTGGAGCGTTAATTATCGCGTCGCCTGCTAATGAGTTTGTCGTAACGGGTTCGCGCGACGGTAATACGAGCGATTATCCCTCCGTCACGTCACGTTAAAGGGAGCTTTGATGCGGCTTCGGCTTTTTTTACCGCGAAGTAATCGTGAGGATGGGCTGTTAATGTCAAAACGTAATGCCCGATAAATTATGGTCACATTGAACTTGGGCAACGTTCTGATGAAAGAACCCCCTGTCAAAGCGCTCGTTCGGTCGCTCGTGAAACACTGTGACTTGGTTTGGCAATCTTGCCGTATGGGATCGTTAATTGTCTTATTATATACGAGGGTGGTCTGAAAAGTTTCCGACCTCAACGTGAAGATAGCAGCACTTGTAAATAAAAGCTAGTGAATTTCGTTGTTCATCTGTTGACAGTTACTCACCGAAGTTTCAGCCATTTTGGACTCGCAGTTGTTATGTAACAGTCGTTTGAGTAAGTTGATGTGAGTGTTTTTGTGAAAATGGACAAAATCGAGTATCGAGCTGTCATTAAATATTTGTTTTTGAAAGGCAATACGCCTACGCAAATCAAAGATGAGTTGGATTCTGTGTATGGGGACTCTGCACCATCATTTACGACAGTGAAATTTTGGGCCGCTGAATT